GAGGCAAACCCTTTGGTTTCTTTGGTTTCTTTGCTTTCCAACCATGGTTATAGATTTCAAAGAGGGTCATCAAAAGAAAGACAACCCTATGAGGCAAACCCCATTATTTGACACAAAGACATCCAATCCACCTTTCTTATACACTTCATCTTATTCAAATCTTTCAACTCTTCACTAATGTGGGATATCTCAAAATCAACCACAATTCACCAACACTTCAATACTTAATCTTCATTATGTCACCTCAATACTCTTGGTTCTTCCTTTTATATATATATATAGATTATTGGTTTAACAATTGAACAACCTATATATAGATTTGAGATCATGTGAGACCAGCTTATTACGTGAGATTATCTTTTTACATTTGAAACTTCACAGTAAAACACTTGAAATTATTCTTCATAGTGTTTTTGCTATTAAGGTTCAGTCAGAGTTTTTTTTACCTTCACAATATTTTACTGTGAAGTTTCTAGTATAAAAATGTACAAGTCTCACGTGAACCCAACCTCTATATATATATATATATGATGCATACCAACTTCTTTGTTTTTGATTTGGAATTTATATAAAATCATCTTCAACATACAAGTTCTTACACAATATCTTGTACCAAAACATTGTTAAAACCTTATTACAATTTTCAACACCCAACGTACACATAAACCTACCTTCTACTCCGTCTGAAACGGTTTATACTTCTTCACATCCATCAACAATCCTTGCACCGAACCAATGGCTGCAACCAACGAAACCACCAAACAAACCCAGCTCAGTATCTTTAACCACACCCATGTGAACGAATACTTTGGTATCTTGGCTCGAGCAATGTACATCTCGATCGGAAAATAAACCGTCAACGGGTAGAACGAACCCGCCCCTATCAACCCTAAGAAGCTATTGAAGAACGGAAAGATCATCGCCACGATTGCAGTCAGAGTCACGTATGCTGTTCTCCAAACCAACCTAAACATGTTCACGTAATACTCTCCGAAAAACGGAAGGTTTACAATATGTTCGGTTGTTATGAACTTGCTATCGGGCCACTGTTGTCGACACTTCATCTCCACAAACCCGAATAAGGGTTGACAGAAGACTTGGTATGCACCGATAAGGTGAATCGCGATGCATACATTGGCGAAATCGATGAGCCAAAAGGGTTCGTAGAAGCCGAAGCCAGTTAGGAAGTTGCCCGGTGCGTCATTTCCGAAGGCGGCATAGCCAAGGCAGCCACACAGGACGTAAAATAAGGTGGTGGTCGAGACTCCGGCGAGCGATGCTCTCTTCATCACCTTGTTCTCCGGGGGATACGATTTCAAAGTGTCCTGTAAACGTACATTTCCAATTACAACATGGTTATGAATTCAAACCCTAATAATAGAAAAGTTAATTAAGAAGATATTAGACATTAATGAATATATATATATATATATATATATAGAGAGAGAGAGAGAATATATATATCACTAATCAAATGAGAACTGATTAGTTTGTGCTAACTGTAAGCTCCAATGTGAGCCAATCATTTAAATAATTAATGTTATATCCTAAAATAACTCAAAGGGTAAATTGGTAATGTTTATAATCATAAAACCCTAACCCTCTTTTTCTTCCTTCCTTCATCGACTAACCCTCTTTTTCTATTGCTACTTCTTATTCTTCATCAAGCCGACCGATGATTTGTAATGTCGCCCTCTCACTCCCGCCGGAGATTGATCAAGATGAAGAGTCTGACACCATTCTTCGTCGTCGGCGGCGCTAATCGAAATTTGGTTGGCAGTGGATTGATTTGTTACGCCGCACTCTCACTCCCGCCGCCCTCAACTCCAATCTCCAGCGTCGAAGATGATTACGCCGATCCAAGTCACTAGCTTCAGTATTAGGTACCGGAGGAGAGACAATATTTTAGAAACAAACAGGTGTGTTATGTCTCCCCCTGTCGAGGGTATGTCTCATGTTGTTAAGGATTCATGAATGTTTGGTTGAATCGGTTCAGGATCACTTATGTCTTCCTGACTAATGGTTCCTTCTTTGTTTAAAGGTTCGTTGATTTTGGAGAAATAGTAGCAGTTCATCCTAAGATCTTTCTGAATTGAGGAAGGATGCTCCACTGCATTAGGCACCATTACTGTGGATTTTGTTGAGAGTATGATCACAATGTAACACAGTGTATCACAACATGCAATTTGATTATTTTTCCTTGTTTTATCAAGGTGTATCATATGTTTTTATGGTTTGAGTTGGTATCACAATGATATCAAAGTATATCACAATGAGCATCATATTGTGTATCACATTGTGTATCTTTGTGATTAATTGGTACCTGTCGGAATAATGTTGGCCGGAGGTCGGAGATTGGAGGTCGAAGAGAGGAGAGAGGAGTTTTTTAAAAATACCAAAAATGCCCTCTAATTATAATTTTAACTCAAACTATCATAATTACTAATTTCCTTATTTATTCGTTGATTTGTGGTTAAGATTGGACCTCACAGTTACCACAAACTAATCAGTTCTCCCTTGAATGAGTCCCTATATATATATATATATATTTATAGAATAGTTGATGATTGAATGTAGGAAAAGAGGAATGAGAAAGGATGGCAGAAAACAAAAGTGGAAAAAAGAAGGAACATATTTGATGGCATCTTGAAGAAGAAAGAAAAATATGATATGGTCTTCTTCTATATCTATCTCTCTTTTTTCTTTGAATATCCGATCGATGGCCATATTTGGAGGTCCATTCTTGAATGGTCCACCCCAATAATTACACCTCCACACACACACACACACACACATATATATATATATATATATATATAGGGTTGAGTTTGGTGGAAAAAAAAACGATGGTGAGAAGCATAAGAAGAGATCCCCGTCCTTCTTTTCACACGATCTTTCGCTTTTGTGTGTGTGTATATATATATATACACATATAATTTCATACATCATAATATGTTATTTTTATATTTGGTGATTAAAGTATTAATAAACAACTAGACTACAACATTAATTTGCCTTACGGACTGTCTACCTAAATGCTTACTAGGTAGGTGCTTATCATTAAGAGTCAACACTATAATTTATTTTATTGGGTAAGGTTGTAGTACATCAAAACGTATTTCATGCAACAATTTTCCTGGTAAGCGCTTACCCAAGTACGAGTCGTCACCACTTACAGGGTAAGACTCTCCATCCTTATCCTCGTTCTTACCGGGTAAGATTCTTGGCCCTTGCCATGTTCATCCAGTGAGGAAAATTACCCGGTAAGTATTTACCGGGTAAACGTTTAGTAAACAACCCCTTACTCTTTTAAATGGTTTTGTTCGAAGGACTCTAAATATAAAAGAATTCAATAAATGAAAATCAATTTAATTTTGTATAATTGTCATGGAGCATCTACACACATGGAAGCATCATATGGTTATACCAAGCATAATTTGTTATATATATATATATATATATATATATATATATGAGCTGGTTATTTGAGAACCATAAACTTATAAGAATATGAGAACTAATGCATCATTTACTATATATTCTACATTAGTGTTTTTAACTTAAGATATTGATTAACATATATTTGTTTCATAATGTGTTCGTATCATATGTATTTATTTTAAAATATGAAGTTTTTTCACATTTTTGTGGAACAAAAGAATATGTAGAGAGCTTTACAGTGTCAAAGAAATAGATATAAAACAAACACATCGTGGAATAAATATACGTTAATTAATAAAAGTTGTAATTAATTATATAAAAACAAAAAATGTAATTAATTAATTAATTTGCATGGAAGTGTTTCTTGTCTGAATTGGGGTAGTTGGGACCTCGTTTCATTTAATTATTTAATTGTAAAAAACAAGGCATGTTTAAATTACTAGTGACAAGGACACCACAACAACTAATCAATGCTCTCTCCCTCTCTCTACACATGTAATCCCTCTTCCTCCCCTTTCATATTCATAGAAACGATTATATATTAATTTGTGTGAAATAAAATATAAATCATATATATATATATATATATATATTTATATTTATAGAGGGCAGTTTCATACGAGAATGATATCTATTTAAGAAAATAACTGAATGATCAAATTTTATACAAAATCACATGTGATTTTACATTAACGCCCCAAAAAGTATGCGGACGACCATATGACTACGTGGCAAGGTCGTTTGAATCACATGTGATTCAGCCATTTCTTATGCTTCTTATATAAAAATAAAAAGTTCCCACATAAGTCCATATATATGTACATATATGTGTATATAGAAGCAATAAACAAATATAATGCATTCACATATGTATGTATGTATATACATATACGAAAGTGAAGCATGTGTGATAGATATACGGGCATAAATAACCATATGTGAAAAAAATGTTTCGAATTTTAGCAACCTCCATTTTTGTTCTCATAAAAATACTCAAGAAAACCACAAGTTAACCCCGACACTTTTTCTTGCGTTGCCGCAAGCTACGGTATGTTTTTGTGGTGAAGTTACAGCTTTGACTTGTCTTTTGTGCGCTATGCATGTCTTTGCGGTACTGCAAGTTACAGTGTCTTAATTTATTTTTATAACAGGCCCAATTTTTATCTGGGTACGTTAAGAAATATCAAAAACCGTCGAAAAAAGTGTAGATTGAACAGGACTAAAAAGTAAACTTTTTTAATTGACTCTGTTGGGTTTTTTATGATTATAACGCTCTGTATACATATATAGAAAGTTGGTAATGGTTGACGAATAGATAGGGAAGAATATATGACATAGGTACACACTTCAAGAGAAGAAGACATATATAGACATGGCCACCTATTTATAGCTAGCAACACCAATACAATTTAAAGACATTATATATATATATATATAGGGTTGAGTTCACGTGATAATAAGGGTTTTTCGTAAGACCCGTAAGATCAATTTATGTTTATTGATTAACTTCATAAATTAATGATCTAATGGTCTAAAATTGCACGGTGACAATTTTATGATTATAAATGTTTAAATTGTAGATATAATCCAAGGGTTGAGAAATGATCTTACGAGTTTCACGAAAAACCTTTTGCCTCACATGATCACAAGTTTAGATTATATATATATATATATATATATATATTCACATAGTCGTATAAATGAAATGAGTAACTCTTTAGGCATATATATTATTGTTTTCATTCTCATTATTAATTCAATCCAATTGTATCTTGTTTATTTGAATATTGTTGCATATTAATTTTTTATGATAAGATAAAAACTAATAGTTGTTAAATTCTAAAATGGGATTTTAGTAGTTAAAGAAAGACAGAAACAAGAATGAATTGATGTTTAATTAATAGTTTTCATTAACATAGCCCTTAATTAATGGAAATAAAAATATATAGCTATTTTTAAGGGTCATAATGAAAATCACCATCAATTCCGTCAACTAAATCTATTAATTAGCGTAATCCGTTTCCTGTTAGTTGTTGACGGTGTTAATAACTATTTTGTTGAAACCCTTAAAAATTGCTGTAAATAGCTGATTTAACAGAAAACCCTTAATTAATTTTCCATAAATAAATAAGGATATAGGATACTCACTTGAATCTCAATAAGAACAGTAGAATACGCGTAGGCAAAAGCAATGTCTCCGATGGATTGAAATGTTCTCCAGATCTTCTCCGAACCCGTTACATCCACTCCTACTTCCACTCCGGTCAAGCTTGTTCGTACATGCCCTCCCTCTATAATATAATTCATATACTTTTTAGTTGATTAATTCCTAAGCACAATTTCTTCCATTTCAAAGCAAATTTTCATAAGTAAATAAACTTAATTATTATATTATTTTTAATTAATTAAGTAACAATGTTACCTTGAATGGATTCTTTAAAATGGATTAAATTATGATTAATGGCAAGTTTTTCCCCCCAAATTATATTAATTAATTAATTAAAATATGTTTTTAATACTACAAATTTAATCATATTTGTTTGGAAAGGAGACAGTACTCTTCGCAAAACAATAGAAACAGAAGATGCAAATTTTAACGGTAAAAAACCTTTATAATTATTATTTATACAATAAAAAATGTTAATTACATTTATAATGTTATCAATTATTAAAATCAATATATTTATGGGTACGGTTATAATCTAAAAGTTTTGTACACGTTTAATCAATAAAGATATATATATATATATATATATATATATATAAGGTGTACGTATTAATAGTGATTCGTAAATGATTTTACAGTATGTATGATATTTAATAATATAAGTCAAAAAATATTCACTATTAGGTTCATTTTGAAGATATTGACGAGCAAAATATAATGGTGTAATTTGTAAAAAAAAGCGTATTTTAATTGATATATGCTTATGTATGTTAATATGATAAGAGTTTAAAATAAATATAAAACATTAAAGAATATAAAACAATTAAATAAATAACTAAAAAAATATAGAATGTAAGTATCAAGAAGAACATGAAAAAAATTAAATATATGATATTTAATAATATGATTAAATTAAAAATATTTAATATTAAACTTATTCTGAAAGTATTGACGAGACGATCATAATTGAGTATTTGTAAAAAAAGAAACATAATTTTAATGTAATTTAGCTAATATATGATTATATATGTCAATAAAACAATGTGTAGAATGAAAAATAAAAAAATAAATGACATAAAAATTAAAATAAAAACATTTTCATAGTATTTATTA